AAACAAGACTCATATATATGCTGCATAAAAGAGACACACTTAAGACCTAAAGACATTCACAAACTGAAAGTGAAGGGGTGGAAAAAGATGCTCCATGCAAATGGTAATGAAAAGAAAGCTGGGGTAGCAATACTTATATCAGACAAAATAGACTTTAAAACAAAAACTATAACAATAGACAAAGAAGGGCACTACATAATGATAAAAGGAACAATCCAACAGGAGGATATAACACTTGTAAATATCTATGCACCCAACATAAGAGCACCTAAACATGTAAAGCTATTATTAACAGACACAAAAGGAGAAATAGACAGTAACACAATAATAGTAGGGGACTTTAACACTCGACTTACACCAATGGATAGATCATCCAAAGAGGAGATCAATAAGGAAACACTGGCATTAAATGACACATTAAGCCAGATGGACTTAGTAGATATATATAGAACTTTCCATCCCCAAACCACAGAATACACATTCTTTCCAAACGCATATGGAACATTCTCCAGGACTGATGACATATTAGGCCACAAAACAAGTCTCAATAAATTTAAGAAGATTGAAATATACCAAGAATCTTTTCTGACCACAAAGCTATGAAACTAGAAAACTACAGGAAGGAAATCAGAAAAGCCCCAAATATGTGGAGATTAAACAAAACACTACTGAACAAAAATTGGGTCAATGAAGAAATCAAAGAAGAAATCAAAAAATACCTGGAGACAAGTGAAAATGAAAATACGACATGCCAAAATGCATGGGATACAGCAAAAGCAGTTCTAAGAAGGAAGTTTATAGCAATACAAGCCTACCTCAACAAACAAGAAAAATCCCAAATAAACAATCTAACAGTGCACCTAAAGGGACTGGAAAAAAGAACAACAAAGCCCAAAATCAGTAGAAAGAAGGAAATAATAAAAATCAGAGTAGAAATAAATAAAATAGAGACTAAAAAATAGAAAAAACCAATGAAACCAACAGCTGGTTCTTTGAAAAGATGAACAAAATTGACAAATCTTTAGCTAGACTCACCGAGAAAAAAAGAGAGAAGACTCAAGTAAAGATGATCAAAAATGAAAGATGAGAAATTACAATGGACACCTCAGAAATACAAAAGATTATAAGAGAATACTATAAAAAGCTATATGTCAACAAATTGGATAATCTAGAAGAAACAGACAAATCTTATAATCATACAATCTTCCAAAACTGAATCAAGAAGAAATAGAGAATTTGAATAGACCAATCACTAGTGAGGAGATCGAAACAGCAATCAAAAACTTCTCAAAAAGTAAAAGTCCAGGACCAAACAGCTTCCCTGGTGAATCTACCAAACATTCAAAGAAGACTTAATACCTATCCTTCTCAAATTCTTCCAAAATATTGAAGAGGAGGGGATGCTTCCTAACTCATTCTACAAAGCCAACATTATCCTTGTATCAAATCAGACAAGCACAACACAAAAAAAGAAAATTACAGGCCAATATCACTGATGAACAGTGATGCAAAAATCGTCCACAAAATACTAGCAAATCAAATACAACAATACATTAAAAAGATCATACACCATGATCAAGTGGGATTTATTCCAGGGATGCAGGGATGGTTCAACGTCCGCAAATCTATTAACGTGATACACCACATTAACAAAATGAGGAATAAAAATCACATGATCACCTCAATAGATGCAGAGAAAGCATTTGACAAGACAGAGCATCCATTTATGATAAAAACTCTGAATAAACGGGGTATAGAAGGAAAATACCTCAACATGATGAAGGCCATATATGACAAACTCACAGCTAGTATCATTCTCAACGGAGAAAAACTGAAAGCTATGCATCAAAGAACAGGAACCAGACAAGGATGCCCACTTTCACCACTCTTATTTAACATGGTATTGGAAGTCCTAGCCAGAGCAATCAGGCAAGAAAAAGAAATAAAAGGGATGCAAATTTGAAAGGAAGAAGTGAAACTGTCACCATTTGCAGATGACATGATTTTACATATAGAAAACCCTAAAGAATCCACTAAAAAACTTTTAGAAATAATAAATGAATACAGTCAAGTCACAGGATACAAAATCGACATACAAAACTCAGTTGCATTTCTATACACTAACAACGAAGTAGCAGAAAGAGATATTAAGAATATAATCGCTTTTACAATTGCAACAAAAAGGATAAAATATCTAGGAAGAACTTAACCAAAGAGGTGAAAGGTCTATACCCTGAAAACTATAAAACATTCTTGAAAGAAACTGAAGAAGACACAAAGAAACAGAAAGATATTCCATGCCCTTGGATTGGAAGAATTAACAGAGTTAAAATTTCCATACTTCCTAAAGCAATCTACAGATTCAATGCAATCCCTATCAAAGTTTCAACATTTTTCACAGAAAAAGAACAAAGAATCCTAAAGTTTATATGGAACTACAAAAGAATCCTGATAAAAAGGAACAAAGCTGGAGGCATCACATTCCCTGATTTCAAAATATACTACAAAGCTACAGTAACCAAAACAGCATGGTATTGGCACAAAAACAGATACACAGATCAAGGGAACCGAATGAGAGGCCAGAAATAAACCCACACATCTATGGACAGCTAATTTTTGACAAGGGAGCCAAGAACATCCAATGGAGAAAGGAGAGTCTCTTCTACAAATGGTGTTGGGAAAACTGGACAGCCACATGCAAAAGAATGAATGTAGAGCACTATCTTACACTATATAAAGGAATTAACTCAAAATGGATTAAAGACTTGAATGTAAGACCTGAAACCATAAAACTTCTAGAAGAAAACATTGGGGGTACACTCCTTGACATCCTTTGACATTGGTCTTAGCATATTTTCAAGTACCATGTCTGACCAGGCAAGAGAATCAAAAGAAAAAATGAACAAATGGTACTACATCAAACTAAAAACCTTCTGCACCGCAAATAAAACCATCAACAAAACAAAAAGTCAACCCAACCGGGTCAGCCCAGTGGTGTAGAGGTTAAGTTTGAGCACTCTGCTTCAGTAGCATGGGGTCTGCAGGTTCAGATCCTGGGCAGGGGCCTACACACCGCTCATCAAATCATGTTGTCATGGCGTCCCACATAGAAAACAAAAATAGAGGAAGACTGGCGCACACGTTAGCTCAGGGGCAATCCTCCTCAAGCAAAAAGAGGAAGACTGGCAACATATGTTAGCCCAGGGTGCATATTCCTCACCACACACACACACACACAACCACAGACAACCTAACAACTGGGAGAAGATATTTACAAACCATCTATCTGGTAACGGTTTAATATCCAAAATATACAAAGAACTCATATATCTCAACAACAAAAAAACAAATAACCCAATCAAAAAATGGGCAGAAGATGTTAGACATTTTTCCAAAAAAGATATACAGATGGCCAACAGGCACATGAAAAGATGTTCAACATCAGTTAATTATTATGGCAATGCAAGGCAAAAACTACAACGAGATGTCACTTCATGCCCCTCAGAATGGCTATAATTAACCAAACAAGATAAAACAAGTGTTGAAGGGGATGTGGAAAAAAGGGCACCCTCATACCCTGCTGGTGGGAGTGCAAACTGCTGCAGCCACTATGGAAAACAGTATGGAGATTCCTCAAAAAATTACAAAAAGAAATACCATATGATCCAGTTATTCCACTTCTGAGTATTTATCCAAAGAACATGAAAACACGAATGCATAAAAATGTACGCACCCCTAAATTCACTGCAGGATTATTCACAATGACCAAGACTTCAAAACAACCTAGGTGCACATCAAGGGAAGAATGGATAAAGAAGATGTGATATACATCAGATTGGCTATAATTAATAAAACAAGAAATAGTAAGTGTTTAAGAGGATTTGGCGAAAAGGGAACCCTCACACACTGCTGGTGGGAGTGCAAACTGGTGCAGCCATTATGGAAAGCAGTATGGAGCTTTCTCAAAAAGTTAAAAAGAGAAATACCCCAAAACCCCATCTATCCCGCTACTGGGTATTTATTCCAAGAACACGAAATCCTCCCCGGCGGCCCCACCCCTCCGCGCTCCGCCCAGGGGGCCCCCCCCCCCCCCCCCCCGCTCCTCCCCGGCTCCTCCCGGGTCCTGCCCTGCTCCTCCCCGCTCCTCCCCGGCTCCTCCTGGGTCTGGCCCGGCTCCTCCCCGCTCCTGCCCTGCTCCTCGCCGGTCCTGCCCGGCTCCTCCCGCTCCTCCCGGGCTTCTCCTGGGTCCTGCCCTGCTCCTCCCGCTCCTCCCCGGCTCCTCCTGGGTCCTGCCCTGCTCCTCCCGCTCCTCCCCGGCTCCTCCTGGGTCCTGCCCTGCTCCTCGCCGCTCCTCCCCGGCTCCTCCCGCTCCTCCCCGGCTCCTCCTGAGCCCTGCCCTGCTCCTCCCCGCTCCTCCCCGGCTCCTCCTGGGTCCTGCCCTGCTCCTCCCGCTCCTCCCCGGCTCCTCCTGGGTCCGGCCCGGCGGCGCGCAGGGGGAGGCCTGCGGAGACGCACACACCCCAGGTTCTGAAGGCTGAACCAGGTGACAGTGCCCAGGTTAGGCTGTCGTGACCTCCAAAAGCGGCAATTTCATAGGCCTCGGCAGTACGCTTCCACTTACTGCTTTTCCTCCTCCAAAGCGATTCTAGGGACAACAGGCAGTCACGGTGGACGGTGCCAGGTTGCCAATAATCACGGCACTTTACTACGGATAACAGAGCGTCGCGTCGGCTGCGCCCCGTCCACCGCCCAGATTCGATCCGCGCCCTCCCCGCAGCTTGTGCGACGCCCGGTCCCTGCCCGCCTCCAGGCTGCCGCTCACCCCGCCCCGGAGCGCGAACCGCCGCGGGCGGCACTGCCCCTGAGGCCGCGGCGCCCGACGGCACGCGCCGGCCGCAGCTCCCAGAATTCCGCCGATGCGCCCGACCTCCCCGGAGCTGCCCTAACCTAAGATGGCGGCGGGCGGAGTCGGCGTGCCCGCCTCGGGGCGGGGCCGGGCCGGGGGCGGCGCCAGCTCCGCCGGCAGCCTTGGGCTGTCCGGGAGGACCTCTCCTTTCCGCCAGACACGTCGCGCACCTGCTCTTCTGCAGCATGATGAGGTCCCCGGGTCGGGACCCGGCCCCCAGCGATGGCGAGGAGGCTTCGGACAGCACGCCGCTCCTGCAGGGCGCCTGGCCGGCGGAAGGCGGTGAGCAGCCGGAGGCCCGGGGCTCCGGGCGCGCGGTCCCCGTACGCGGCTGGCCAGAGTACCTGCGCTCTGGGCCGTGGGGCGGGGGGCTCGGGGAGGGGAGCCCAGTCAGGGTCCTCTCAGCCCCGCCTGCCCCGGGGTGCGGGCCCGGGCGGGGTCCGCGAGGCCGCGGGCCGGGCTGCAGGCTCGGGTGGGGCCTCGGCAGGCGCAGTCCCGCGGGCCTGGGCTCCTGGCGATCTTCGGTCGGTCGGTCGGAGCGAGCGGGGGACCTCGTGGAAGAACCAGTTGGGGCAGAATCTCCAAATCGGTGGGCCAAGGGCTGGACGGAGCCGCTGGCTCTTGCCCTTGTCACCGCCGGGTTTCCGCAGTGCCTGTCCGCCAGCACGTGATCTGGTGCTCCTTGGGCGAGGAGGGGGGACAAAAAAGGACTGAAGTTAACATTTGTGAGTATGGGGAGGACAATTACTGCATAACCCAGCGAATATCTTGAAATTGTGCAGTAAAAGATTAAAAGTAGTGCACAGATTTTTTTTTTTCGTATAGCATTCTCCGATTTAAATTAGGAAACGGTTTGGTTATCCTCAAGGTGGGATATCTCTAGAGCTCTACGGTACGTTGCCAGAGGTCCTGCGATCGGAGAGAAGGTACTTCGCAACTCATCTTCCCTGAATTTGGGAAGATTAAAATATTTTGCTATTTGATGCTTGTGTAATGTAACTTCTGTAAAAGTAATTAAACCTGAAGAATAAGTCAGTTTTAAAGATGTGAGCGTGAAAAAGAGTTGAATTAGAAATTTGACTTTTGCTGACCAAAACTAGTGTGCGTAGTCCTGTGGTATCTTTTGTATTTGTTTTTAACATTACCGGATGGTGGGAGTGGAGGTGGCAACGTTTTAGCCCCATCCGGCAGCTGGGAGCTTATTTTAGTGGACGCCCAATGTAAATACCGTACCATGGTGACGTTATACCTGGAAGCTGTGTTTAGTTCTGTAAACTGATCTTTTCCTATGGCATATAGTGTTAGATTTCTAAAATCTTTTTTGTAAAATAGTCTACTATGGAAATACAGAAACAAATGCCATGATAAAGATATTCCCTAGAGACTATTATATTCTGTTGAAATTTGGGGGAAAAAAAATATATATAAAATCAAATTTTAGCTCAAATGTTAGACATCACTGGTTGTCAGCAAAATGCAGATTAAAACCACAGTGAGCCATTACACACCCACTAGAATGGCTAAAATTAAAAAGGCTGAAGACACCAAATGTTGGCAAAGAGATGGAATAACTAGAAGTCCCATACATTACTGGTCAGAGTGTAAAATGGTGGAACTACTTTGGAAAACTGTTTGGCAATTTATTTTAAAGTGAAACATACATTGCCATAATACCACACAATGTTTTTAGTAGCTTTCTTCATAACAGTAAAAAACTGGAAATAACCTAGATATCCATCAACAGGCAAATGGGTAAACAAATTGTGGTATATCCATACAATGGAATGCTAGTCAATAATAAAAAGAAACTACTGATACACATAACAATGTGGATGAATCTCAAAAAAACACTGAGCAAAATAAGCCACCATAATAAAGCACAAAATTCTGCTCTGTGTCTGGAGTGCTGTGAGCAGGAGGACATGAGAGGAGCACTAGGAGAAGAGAGATGGCGAAGATAAAGATGGGTTTAACAACTTGATAGGAGGTGCCAAGGGTTACCTCATTGACTGTGCATGTCCTAGCTTTAGTAATAGTGTCTACCATGTCCAATCTAGTAGGGGAAACAAGACCTTTGGTTATATTTTTAATTAAATTATGTTCTGTATATTCACTGCACAGTTAAGAAGGTGTGGGTGTTTAAGAAAAAAACCTTTCCATCCAGAATTAGTTTTTAAAAATTTTAGTGCCTGAAGGAGTAAATCTTTAGCAGTCTTTAAAACTTCTCTTTCCATACGTATGTATTCATTTTATTTATCTTGTGTATTTGTTTCTGGAACGGACCAATATGAAATTAGCTGTACCTTATCTGTGCTTAAGTGTATAATTTTGTTTTGCAGAAGAGGAAGGCTGATAAAATGACAGTCATAAAATTATACAGCAGTAAAAAGAGCACAGAGACTGACTGCCATCTGGTGGCGCATCATTTTATACGTAGACAACAGACGGCCGGGGAGGTTAAGTTCCCAAAGATTGCGTGTAGCCATATTAAGAACTAACCTGAGAGTTATGGATTTTTGTCCCATCCTCCTTCCTTGACACAACCCTGCCATATTTGTGTTATATTTGAGAAATTCCTATTTGCAAAATGCTTAATCATTTTTACTTGATCCTTCACAAATTTGAAAGTTCCCCACTCCACCATGAGTAAGAGGACACGGTTTTAAATTATGCATAGTTTAATTTATTAAGAGAGCTAAAGTTAGGATATGTTTCTTTCGTGTTAGTTATGAATTTTTAATTCAAGTTGATAGAATAGGACAGAATTCTCAGTGACGCAACTATGGTTTGCCTGTCAAGCATTTGCTTTTACTTAACTTGGTGAATTTCAGAGATGGATCCTAAAATGATGGGGGAAGGGTGGCTTCATGCTGATAAACAATAGGAAACCTATAGATTTTTGTGCCTAATTTAGGTAGGAGAAAGGGCGGGGATTGGGCAAGGAAGAGCAAAACTTCCCCTCCCACACATAAAAATTTTCACCCTCACACTTTCCACCATTTGAAGGTTTACTTTTGTATGAATGAGAAGAGTCTTGTATTCAGTTAAGTGGATTTTCAAAATACTGTTGCATCAAACATGTGCTCATTCGTGTTAGGAGAAATCAGCTTTAGGGCTTCTGAGACATTTCTTTGTGTTTAAAGGCAGAGCGGGGATCTGGAGCCAAAGTGCCTACCTGCCAAACTCAGCTCCACCAGCTGGCCGGCTGTGTGAGAGTGAGCCATTCCCTCACCTCTTTATGCTTCCTTATCAAGGAGTCAGGGAGCGTAACGTGCCCAGATTACAGGCTTGTTGTGAGGATGAAATGAGCTGGTGGAAAGTGCTTAGAATAGAGACGGGCCTGCAGTAAGTGTCAGTGACCATCATACCAGTGAAGACACTTGGATTGTGCATCTCCCAGAGAAGCTGGGCACCGCAGAATGAGGCCCCTTCTTCACTGTCACACGCTATTGGAACTTGTGATTTTCTAGCTTATAGTCGTGCATCCTGTGCTTTGTTTTCATTGGTTTTGTTTTTTGCCTCTACTATTCCATTACGGGGGTTGCAGTCAAGGTTCGGTTACACAAGCATTGTTTCACAAATATGCTTTGTGTGCGTGTATATAGATTTACACTACAGTATGAAGTGCTGGTAGAGAGCAACCAACCGTATTACAGATGAAAGCAAACGGCGTTGGGACATGTTATGGTAGTCAGTGTTAATACTGAAGTGACTGAGTCCATTTTAAGGGAATTTGGTGTTTACATAAAGGGGTATTAATTTGGGAGCTAGGAACATATAAGGGTTTATCAGGAATTAATTATGCATAAGGCAGGGTAAGACTAGTTGAATATTACACTTTTTAAAAGCAGAACTTATTTTATCCATTTTAGATAGGAAATCTGTTTAATGCAATTCCCTGGCCAAGGGCGCTCACAATCCAGTGCCCCACCTCTGGAGAAGGTCGTCATCTTTGTGTAGGTCTGTGCCCCTAACCATTGATTTTCCACCTCAGTCTCAGCCTCTCACTGCTCAGTACCTCCTTGCTCCTCACCCAGGCGCGTTCCTCCCCACTGCCAAACCCTTCCACAGTGAATTAATGCCTGACATCCTCAGGTTTTCATCAGCCTCCCTTCACTGCCTGCACCTCCTTGCTTCAACAGAAACCTGGCCTTCTGGGCATACCACTCTCACTGCTGTCACCAGCGGTGATTATTTTCTCTTGCCTTGTGCTATTTGATGGGATTGACTCCTTCTTAGTCCATGTGGTTTCCAATAATTACCCCTCCACTCTCGGTGCCTTTGGACTAGACCACTTTTCCCCTACATTGTTGCATCTTCTCCCCACTTCTGGCACTTTGCTTCATTCATTAAAGGCTTTGCCAGCAGACACACTTTTTCTTTTTGCCATCTTCTACACTCTAATTCCTGCCATTATCTTGAGTGACTCCTCATCCAACACCATGTCCCCTCAGTTCTTTGGACTCCTACATGTCTAATGACTTGCTTGCCTCCTTCGGTCACCCCTTGGACCTTGTCATCTCCCATAATTGCTTTAAGTACAACTAGGCTTCCTTCCTACTTCTCTGCATAACTACTCTACTTTGACCACTCTCTGACTTCATCTGGACCTTCCACCCACTGACTCCTCATTTTTTTGTGGAAAGATTCACACGTATACAAAAGTAGAGAGAAAATTCTCTTTTATCTATTGTCAAGAGTACTTCAGGGGCTGGCCCCGTGGCTGAGTGGTTAAGTTCACACGCTCCACTTCGGCAGCCCAGGGTGTCGCCAGTTTGGATCCTGGGCGCAGACACGGCATCGCTCATCAGGCCATGCTGAGGCGGCATCCCACATGCCACAACCAGAAGGACCCACAACTAAAATACACACCTGCGTGCTGGGGGAATTTGGGGAGGCAAAAAAAAAAAGAGTACTTCATAGGTAGAATTGTGGATTTCAATCAAGTGACACCTCTCTACTTTTAAGCCTCCAAAATGTTTGCATACCAGCCCTCCCAGACACAGTTCTAGGCACTGGAGGTGTACAGCAGTGAGCAAGACAGAAGAGCTCCTGCCCTCCTGAGCCTTTGTATTCTAGTGCTCATTTTCCCAAACCATTAGCCCCTTCCATTTTACTTCTTCTTGGGTTGGAATTACAGTATTTTCTTGTCCATACTCTAAATTTCCTTGCTCTCTGCTTCGTCACCACATCATCTCACTGCCAGCTGTCTGCTTTCCCAGTGCCTGCCTCTGAGTACAGGCATGCAGTGGTTCAAGGTCACACACCAGGGCCGATTGTGCCCACCAGTTTGGGCTGGGTGTCTACTCACTCAGCAGTCCGATATGTTTCACTGGGAACTTCACACCCCCACTCTCTTCAACAACTTCTTTCTTCTTTTCCCAATTCCTAATTTCTCACGAATGAGAACCTCAATTCCTAACAAATTACTTCAATTCCTAATATCCAGAAAAAGCAATAATAATAACAATTCACAATTATTGAAGGCTTATTACGGGTACCAACTCAGTTAATCCTTATAATAACCCCTTTTATTGACAAAATGCTTGAACTAATACTGAGCACATAATAAGTGCTCAATAAATATTAGCTATTAATTTTTTGTTAGGAAACTCAGTACCCACTGTGCCACTTACTACAGTACCACAGTCCCACCACATCAGATCTTGGAGTTCCCACTCTTCCTGGGCTCATCTTTCTTTTTCCCTCCTTCTGTACCTGCTGCTGCCTTTCTTGTATTGCTCTCCCTCCTCTCACCTGCCTGGTCACTTCACGTTCATTGATGAAGACTTTGTGCAAATGTTTTCTCCAAGAGGCCCTCACACACACACACACACACACACACACACACACACACACACACACAGGCAAATTAATGTGACTCTTTTGTCCCTTGTTAGACACGTATGTAGCAGCTTCTTTTATTGGTATAACTTTGTCCAGGGTGAACAGGAAAGGAACTCCCTTTCCTGAGTGTCTACTCTACTGCCCTACACCATTTCATTTAATCCACCACAACCCAGTGAGGTGGATGCTGGTCGCCTCACTTTAGAGCTGAGCAACCTGAAAGTGAAAAGTAGTAAGTCACTTCCCCAAAGACACACTGCCAGTGAAAGTTAGAACTGAAATTCACTCCTGGGCCTGCTTCACCCGAAATTAGCCTGTGTCCTTTCAGCTACGCCCATTCCACATTCCTAAGTTTATACCATATTTTAGCAGCTGATGTTTGGATGGGTGCTCTGTTCGTTACGCAAGCATGGTTTTGCTTTGAACTCGATTTCAATGTGGCGGATGCTTAATGGCTGTTCTCTTCGTCACGCAAGCATGCTTATGTTGGACCAACTGCAAACATGATCCAGAGTCAGACATGTTTTGCTCTGTCACCATACTTTCTTGAAATGAAATCTTTCTGACTGATCTGTAATCAACAACCATTCTTATAAAGCTAGAAATCATTTATTTTTAATATTTCTTGAAACCGCATAGTCATATACTTTGACATCTATATTGGCTTTTTATTTTCTGATTTTTGACTGTGCCCCAAAAAGTTAAAGCTGCCCAATTCATAGCTTTTTCTAGGTGAGACTTTCAGGTAATATCACGAGTAATTGACATCATTTTGCTTACCTTCCCTTCGCTTCTCAAGCTTCTAGCCCCACATCCTATTCACATGATAATCATATCGTAGTCCAAATCAAGCATCACATGGGGAGAAACTGATAGCATACAGTAAAACAAGGTCACTGCAAATAAGGACAGAATGGAGTAAAACCTTACAAGTCAGAGTAGCATAAAATAAAGTGTTTAGAAAAAGAATTTCTGATAACTCCACCCCTCCCTCTCACCTACTCCCACATCTAATATGTAGGCAAGGCGGTCAGTTCTGCCTTTAAATTTTATCTCAAATCTGCCCATTTATCTCCATGGCCTCTGCCTCATTCTAGTTTAAGCCACCCTTGTCTTGACCTGGGAAACTACAATAGTCGCTGAAGTGATCTCCCTGGGTCTGCATCCCCCACCGCCTGTCACACTTCTCCCCCTTTGTCGTCTCCACGCAGCACCCAGAGAAGCTCTTGACACCAAAAATCTCTCATCACTCCTCTGCTGAGGTAGGTAATGAGCTTTGTAAATAGTACCTTAGCGAAGCAGACGGTGTGTAAATCTGGATTTTTCTTGCTCCAAATTACTCAAAGTAACACATTTTAAGTGCCCAAATTTGCCAAGATTGTGAGACCCCAGACCACACTCTGTGCATTATTGTCTGACACAGAGCGATGATAAAGAACTGTGCTCTCCTATAAAGCATGCCTTGCAGTATCCGGACTGTCCTGAACTAGACAGCTACCCATTCGGCTGGAGCAGAGAGCAAATGTGTCTAGATTCAGATAACGCACACAGTGTGAATAGAGCCTCAGAAACCCTGTTCTCACAGGCCTGGACCTAACTGTGGCGATAGTGCCGTCACTCTGATAGCCGCCCCGCTAAGGAAGAAGTCAAGAGTGCCAGAGGAAAAGTTCTCTGTTAAAGATGTAAATCTGGCACAGAGGGGAAACAGTGACAGCAGTTGTTAAGTGTGTGAGGGTTGGTAGAAAAGTGAGTTAGATCATAGTATATTAACATATCCCTAAATATAGTTGTGCCTTATTCATTAACGCTTCAGTCTGAAAGGTTACCGAGACCTTTGTACTCTGAAAAATGTACTCATGTTTGAGGTTGGGCGAGTGAAATCACAAGGATTCCTGAGTAGGAGAGAACACACATGTATAATGTTACTATGTCATTTCCAAATAAAAGCACAAATATATTCATATATATGTATTTAACTTTAACTTATTACTAAATGAAATAGGTGTTCGTACCTTTCAACAGCTACTTACCAAACACTCTGTGTTTACCACACTTAAAGGTGTAAGACCCTGGATTAGCCACTTTCTCTTTGTCACTAAGGGGTCTGTCACACTAGTCAGCTTCCTGAAGTCCCATCCCCTCGTCATTTCTGCAACTCAGTAAAAGAAGAGAAAAGAAAATATATGCATAAGATTAAAGTTATATTTAGAGTAAAAAATAAGTCAGGCTCCTCCTCTCACGTGGTCCTTCTCTCATTGGTCCCTCCAGCCTGCTCTGCCTCCCCTTTCCATTGTTGTGGTGCATTCCCTTATTTTCCTTTTTGCTCGGGGCCCTTTAAGCATGATCAACTGAGCAACTGTCACAGAAGTTGCAACTGTCGTAGATTCTGCAAGTTTGCTTCTGGATTCTTAAACACATTTAGTTTAGGAGAGCCCTAACTATTAATCATGGCTTCTGATTCAAGCCCAGCCTCTGAGGATACTTTTCAAGGTAAGAATTTGTGGAGAGGGTTTTCGTGCGCTAGCTTCGGCTGTGCATTTTGTGTGCTGTGCTATGTTTATGGTGGGCTGGCCACCAACCCATGGTCAGCAGTACACGTGCTGTGCTATAGTGAGCACTCGAGTACTTACTGGCCATGTTTTAGAGAGTTTTTCAGAAATAATGATGCCATTAAACCCCCTTACCTACTTTCTCATATTTTGCCAGCCAACAGAAACTGGGGATTCAGTTTTGACTCTGGAATGGAGATTTTTCTGAGCAGAGTTCATAAAGTTCCTGCCTCCTAGTTTTAAGAAACTGTCTTACAGGTCAGGCTCTCGTGTCTTAAATGTGTATCAAAACTACAGATACTGGGAACAGATTCTCTCTGATAAATGTTTTTAGATATGCTTAATCTGAGAATATTCTCAGAAAAATATTCATGGTTTATGAATTTGTGCACTTCTGAAAGGTCATCTTTCAGTGATTTGGAGAGTATCATCTGTTATTCTTTTAATGAGAGTTTTCCCCTAATCTTTCTTTCAGCTCCGGTGTGCTGCTCTGCTCGTTACAACTTAGCAGTTTTGGCCTTTTTTGGGTTCTTTGTTCTCTACGCGTTGCGTGTGAATCTGAGTGTTGCGCTGGTGGATATGGTCGATTCAAATACGACTTCAGCAGATAACGTAACTTCCAAGGAGTGTGCAGAGCATTCTGCTCCCGTGAAAATCCTTCGTAGTCAAACGGTAAGTGATATTTTTTAAGCAAACAATCTTAATCCTAAAATACGTCCAAGTAAAGGTATTGAAAGGCCTTTCTGTATCCTCCAGAAACCACGAACACTTTCTTCATGTCCCCTCTGAGGCGCTGTCTTTTGTGTTTTCCCGGCATCTGGTTGAACAGTAACTTGTCACTATAGCTCCTGTGGCTGTGCTGTAACGCACATTTTGAAAGTTGTTTTTCACTTTCTTCTATTAACATACCATCCTTGAAGAGAATTTGGAAAAACCTGTTTGGCATAACCAGAAAATTGGGTTGTTTTAGATGTTGCTAAATAGTTTTTGTAGGACTATTATTTTAGTACCTGTTTTACTTACAAGATTCCTGTGGAAGGACAGCTTAGATCATCTCAACTGCAGAATGAAAGATAAGAATGGGGGCATTCTTTTCCAAAATTTACACATGCCGAACCTAAGCTACTTAAATCATTTTGCCTGCCTCATGTTATAGTGGAATTGATAAGTGTGCGTTTATCATTTGTTCAAAATTGAACTTTACAATCTTGAAGTATTTTATTTTGCTTATCACACGAGGAGACAGTACAGAGAGAAGGACTTGTGTCCTTTGTTACGAGTCTGTTTTCGTCCATTGTGGGTGCTTGCAGAGGAATGGATCACACTTGGGCATGTCTCCTCCGCCCTTTACAAACAAGAGCGTCAGGCAGGGAAGAGGTTTTCTCCCAGACGAGCACACAGACAAAATAATGACTTGTCAAGAATGTTTATGTCTGACTTCAGTACCGTAGCTGAATACATATTTGGGTGCATGTCACCCACTTTCCCCACTCCACCCCGTGACCTGTAATTGCTGGACAGTTCATGCAGTCCTAGAGTACTACGGATGAGCCACAAATTGGTAGCTAAACAAGGATAATTAAGGATTTGCTTTGTGTCTCTCCCTTTGGCGAGAGCTTTGCTGATCCAGCTCCTTTTCTTCACCTGCCTTGTGTCAACAATAGAAAGAAATCCTGGAACAGTTCTTGACACCTTGGCTCGATTATACAGCTCCAGGTGTTAAAGATGTCAGATATTCAGATCAGTCCCTAAATCTTCACTATTACCTTAGTATGTGCTGCTGCTAATTCAAGGACATTTCCTAGTCAGGGGAAGTTTATGGCTTTGTTTAAATTCTTGCCCTTTTGTATTGTTCTATATGCTTCTTCAAGTGCTGGGTCTGAAATGGGGGAGATATTAATGATCTATATCTATGCATACTAATAGCCAACATTAAGTGAACCCTTAGTGTGTCAGGCCTGCTTTCATGTGCCTTTGTCATTTGTTCTTCCCAGATCACAAGTCCAGTAAGGAATAGAGCTGGGCTTGAACCCAGGCCTGTCTCACAAGCCTGGTTCAGCCACTTCAGTCCCCTGTTTAGTAGCTTTCTGCATTAAGCCTGTCCCTCTTGTTTGAGGCTTGTTGGTCGTGGTCCCTACAAAGCCTCTACAACTCATTTGATAGCCTAGCTTATAAAATAGCAGGCCTTCCTGAGGTTTATAGCTTTCAGTTATTCCCCATTCAGTCCTGGAAACTGCATGTCTGTGTCATGGTGACTTACCTGCCGAGTGGAAAGTTTGCACGTGCTTCAGTCTAAAACGGTGCTTCAGAATTGCGTGTATGTGTACTTACATGCCAGTGAAAGAAAGAAGCTGTTTAGTAAAGGTCTTAAAAGCTGGTTTTTCTCCTGCTGCTCTTTCTAGGGTAAAAGGTACCAGTGGGATGCAGAGACCCAGGGGTGGATTCTCGGCTCCTTCTTTTACGGCTACATCGTCACGCAGGTTCCCGGGGGCTACATTGCTCGCAAAGTCGGGGGGAAGCGGCTGCTGGGGTTTGGGATCCTTGGCACTGCTGTCTTCACCCTGTTCACGCCCATTGCCGCAGATTTTGGAGTTGGAGCTCTCGTTGTGCTCAGAGCACTAGAAGGACTTGGAGAGGTAATTTTTTTCTCTCTTTTGTTTTTCTTCTTACCCTATATCATCTCCTTGCCCATTCTTTGGTACGAATATGAACCTAAAATTGACATTGGAGGATAACAGGGATTTATTCTTTAATTAGAAAAATGATTAACTAGAAAATAACCCAAGTAGGTTTTGTGTGTGGTCAGTGAAGTCTCAAGTGGGAGTGATGCGGGGACGGTGAGCCGAGAAGTCGAAAGAAAAATTTCTTGGACTCTCAAGGTCTGGCAGTAGTGCTCTTTTATTTAGAAAATAGTGTGGAATAGCATGGGGACAGACCCATGGGCAGTAAAGAGCTGCTGCCCTGAGTTGAGGGTTAGGGCTAAATTTATAAGGCAGGGGTACGTGACTTATTTTTACTGGAAAAAGAAAAGATGATGTAAAAAGTCATTAAATGATTTCAGTGCAGATGGGGTCTGGTTATTGTGCGGTCGTATAACTTTAGATACGAATCTGATCATATAGATCAGCATGTAAGTGAGGATGCCCTGGGCTTCTCTCCCTGGGGCAGCCCTAATTCATACCATAAAAATCCACCGGGTCATATAGTTCGGCATGTAGGCCAGGTCACCTTGGGCTTCTCTACCTGGGGCAGCCTTAATCCACACCATAAAATCCATCGGGTCATATAGATTGGCATGTAGGCCAGGTCACCTTGGGCTTCTCTCCCTGGGGCAACCTTGATCCACATCATAAAATCCCCCCTGAACCCATTTGGCCCCGAAATCTTTTGGGGATATGGATGATGGTCAATCTTCTGTAACTACTTCCGGCTGTACAAAGTCGTAGAGCTGTCCCTAAATGGGGCCATAGGTATAGGAAGGAGGTTCAGCGGACCGGAAGGCTGCACCCGTGGAGTCCAAGGCTGACAAGGTGTACAGATCCTCTGGAGACGAGAGAATCGTTTGACGAGAGGTGGTCCAGGAGGTGAAACAGTGGAAGACAGAGCAGGTCCAGTGCTGTTGCAGGTTGGGTAGGTTAGCAGGAGGAGATATAGTAAATGTAGTTCTACCCTGCATCCAGACGAAGCCTAGGGGGCATCGTCCAATCCATCCAGGTGGTAGCCAAGGCCATAAGTGGGAGCCACATAACTACTGAGTGCCATTAGGGGCTAACCAACGTATGCTGGGCCGCCTATCCCAGTCAGGCCCAAACCAATCAGTATTTTTTTAAGGCTATGATATGAGAACACATGTAACGGGGAATTTTCCCCATAGGTCAGGTGCTATTAGGCCATGTGTCACAGGTGTGATTGGTTTGTTCCCAACATAGAGTGGCCTTTTGACTGAGTTGACCACTAATAGGAGTGAGCCAAATATATTCGTCCCAAATTTGATATAGTCCATCCTGTGTGTATCGATAAGTTGGGGACTTTACCTTTGGAACTTGTTGTTTATGATCCACCTGTGACAAGGCCAATCTAGTTAGTATTTGGGCAGTAGTATTGAAGGAAAAGGTTTGATTGTGGCCAGGGAGCTCCCAGGTATCAGAGATGGATGGCCACAAGGAGACATTATGATTAGTAATAGATGAATCTTGTAGAAAAGAAGAGCTAGAATCTAATATCCATGAATGCGTACTATAGCTTCTGCTGAAACAATTTTTTCTCTCTAAAATCACCCTCATTTTTACAAAAGATAGGCAAATTAAGATTAACTGGTTTGCAAAATAAGTGTAGTTTCAATAAAACTTGATCCAAGTATTTACATAAGTGCAGCAAGAATAGCAATTGATTATACAGGCTCTTTTAAATCTGCTTTGCTGGAATTTTTTTATGAGGAATCTCAGATTGAACTGTAAAGGCCTCTCGAGGCCAGAAAAGCCAAGCCAAGGACTTGCCATCAGATTTTGCCTGCAATACCTACAAGTTTGGGTGGACTCCTCTCTTCTCGAGGTCCCCCAAAATATTCTGAGGTTCCTTGCACCTGCCAGATAAGCAAGCTTCCTTACTTACCAGGCAAGATTGCAAGAATCTCTGTAAACAAGGTACCAGGCCCATATTTCCAAGTGGCTTTATTTCCAGAAAGTCCAATCTTTGTTCCTGAAAAGCTGTCTTGTCATGTCTGAGCCTGTATGTTTCTCTCAAATATGACATTCCAGTCAAAGCTTTGGTAAGATAACCAATGTGTCCTGTTATAAGGAGAACAGATTCTTAGTGAACTTATGCAATAACTATCTTACCACGAAATAATCATACTCACAAAGAGTTTCCAAATTCTGGAGGGATCAGGTAGGGAGAAAAAGATAAATGTTTCAGTTTTGCTCATAAAGGTATAATTTCACTAAATTGCTGTAAGTCATAGTTAGCATAAGAGAAAAGATTTCCTTAAATCTGAGAAATCAAAACTCAACAATATTTCCAACAGAAGTCATAAAAAAATTATAATCATCCTCATCAGTTCACACAGTCCTGTATAATCAATTCTTGAACTTAATCTTCTGTTAGCAGGTCTATGAGCTCAGTTTCTCCGTTAGAATTCTCTAATTTCTTACCCAGTTCAGTTTTATAATCTGAAAGTTTATCATAAACCTGTAGTTTAGAACCTTGTGTCAGAATCCTTTCCAGGAATTTCTCTGAAGACAAAAAATATTGGCAAAAGCAAAAAGCATCAGAGTAAAACAGCAACTATCTGCAAATGACAAAAGACTCAAAAGGGCAATTGACAAAGAAACTTAGCTACTTCTGTGACATACAACACTTCTAGATAATAGCTAGAATTATGACTGATAACCAGGACAGATCAGAATTTTAGGAATGCTATATAATTTTAAGACACCTGTATTAATAGCATTTACCCACATAATACCACCTAAGGAAGTTTATCATCACTTATCTGACAATGCTTCCCATGTAGTTTAATAGACCAAATAAGCCTAATTAGTTTAGTATTTTCCTCCTTATAGGAAGAGAGAGAACAAATTTCTTTGAGAAGTCTCAGGGGCCCTCTGAAAATCCTCAGAGAAATTTTTCTTCCATCCACCAGGTCAAAAGAAAGCCTTCATTCAGAATGTGAATATTTTTGAGGGAGAAGCTTGTCAAAAATATCAAAAGTTTTTAAAACACTCGTTCAGATAGGAAACAACACTCACTGTGAAACAATGCTCAGGTATCCATTCAAAGAGACAACAGAAACAGTCAAGAGCAAACAACACAGTCAAAAAATTTTAGGAGAGACCTCTTTCTTTCTGAATATAGGAAATTATTTTAACAAAACATAGATTTTTATCTCTTAGGTAGAGTTAGAGCAGGCCAAAAGTTCAAGAAAATTATCCTTCGAGAGAAAACCAAATTTTAATTTCTGCACCAGCTTATTTTTAACATTAAAACTCATTTACTTAATTAGATTTACTTTAATCTTAGTCTACTTGAGCAGGCGTAAAACTCCTTTCTGAATTTCTCTTTCACAAACCTTCCTCAACTTTCTTTTGCCTTCAGAATTTGTCCCATGCTTGCTTTCTTCCCTTCTAGTACATTAGGACAAATTTATCTTTCTTAACCCAACAAACAAAAATACTTCCATTCTTTATACCCTCCTTACTGAAAACATACATTTTAACCTTCCTTGAATACAGAGCTGTTTTCCTTATTAATTTCCAGTAGCTTCAGTTATATATGTTAATTAGAACTTTTAACCCTTAACAGACCCTAGTGGACGCTAAAAAGGTAAGCAATTACGAATTGTCTTTTATATCAGCATTCTAAACACTTCATAATTTCTGGAAACACGCCGCTTTACAGTAACAGACCCAAAGACTTTTAGCCTCTCTGCAATAAGAAGCCAAAAGTAGATAACTTAGATATGTTTAGCAATAATGTTTGTGTTCTATCCAATCCAAAGATGACCCAGATACTCAGATTTTTATCATTTAACTTAACTTGGCAAAACTCAAGATTGCTATCAAAAAGAATTTGGAAGCTCTTTTTTTCCCCCCAAGTATACAGACCATAAAACAGATATTGTACCCACTTTTATCTATTTAAATTATTTGTTTCCAACAATTATGTTCAGATTACCTACGAAAACGTCATGAGACATTAGACAAAACTGGTCCTCATTTAAAGCTATTATTTTGCTTACAAATTTCTAACAGACAACGTGAACTTATTTGACTAGTAAACCCAGGCTGCATGCCTGCATCATATGCAAATACCAGCAGCTCTGACAGCAAGACTATTTTCAATCAAACCAACAAACTTAAACAAACTTTCATTTACCAAAGATTAATTCACATCACGTTAACTTGAAGGACATTGGATTAATTTCTCCTACATTTAGAATTTATGTAAGCACTTACTTTAAGCCAATTAAACAGAGCTCTTAATTTTGGCCATACCATCCCGAGGTAAAATATCACACATATAACATACATATAGACACACGTATACAGAGACTGCACGGCTATTGTTTTACCAATATTTGTGGAGAAGATACTCAAGATGCTCGATTTTTTGGCAAGGGCACACTTATGGCTGTTTTTTTCCTCCCCACCCCTTTTTTTTTTTTAAGTCTTAGGAATTAGTGATGGGCTAGGTAGTAGTTCCTAGAGAGGGGAGATGATAATCCTTTTTCGAGATAAAGGAACTGGGTGGAATCTGAACTGCCTCTAGAGCTGTATTTCCAGTCTTGAAAGGATTTTTAAGGACAGTTGCTCTTGATTTCCTAGAAACTGGATTGTAACTTGAATGACATTCTAGGTTGATCTACCTGTCCAACTACATCGTAAAGGCACAGAGAAACCCCTCAAGTTTTCTCCCGGCTGGAGTTTCTGGGGCATAACCCATGCAATTGAAAGTGTTTCCAATTAGTTAGAATGCACCCGAGTGGTGAGTCTCTGGGGATGCTTACGGCGTTCCTCATGGCAGTAAAGCCAGTGTCCGACTGACAGTGGACTGGAGAAGGGTGCAGAGCCCGATTGCAGGTGTCAACATAGTTATAAGATTTAGTCAAGTCCCACTTAGCCAGGGCACTTTGTCCCTGAGCCAGCACGGTTGAGGCAGGGAAGCAGGAGGCAAAGGCCTGGAACTGGCTGGAGGCCGGGGCTCCCAGTGCCAGGGTTGAGAGTTAAGTCCCTGACAAAATGTTCTCAAGTTTTCGATTTTACAGAAGGTCCAGGTTCTGGTCACGTCCAGCCTGAACTTAACCTTGCCTTGGTAACAACAGAGATGATAAACAAAACAGACAAAGAAAGGAAAAGAAGAGATCAGACCTCACCCTCATGGCCTCTTCCTGAGGGTTATCAAGATAAGACTCACACAACAGTTCCCATGCTGGGGCACACTATCCTAGCATGACAGTTCACAGAATAAATCACAGGTCTCCTACCTTCATAGCCAACTCAGTAGTTGACTAAAATACTCTGAGTCAACCATCAAGAGAGGGCACCCCACTTGGGGTCACCGGGGTGATCAGGCCCGGAAACCCAAAGTTGGGGCTCCCAGGGGTGGAGCCTTTGACTCTTTAAAGATTTCTTTGTTTCCTGGTTGCAAAGCTCAAAAGGAGACCAAAATGGCCGTTGTAACTCTAAGAGAGATGAAAGAAACGGGTCCATTACCTTGAAAATCCCCCCGAACCTAGGGCAGCGTCCTACCATTGTTCCTACTATGGGGTTCCTATAGCAAGGGGTGATGGGGGCGTCCCCTGGCATTGCATCCTTTGTATACCTTCCCTGTTATGCCTGGCAGTAACAGGTGCCTGGTGAATGGTCCCCGAGAGAAAAGGAGAACTTTAAGAGAGATGAAAGAAAAGGAGCCATTACCTTGAAAATCCCCCCAGTGGGGTTCCTGTAGCAAGGGATGATGGGGGCATCCCTTGAACATCTTCCCTATTCTGCCTGGCAGTAATAGGTGCCTGGTAAATGGTCCCCAAGATAAAAGGATAGAGAAAAACAGTGAGGAATTTTCCGCCAGTCTGGGGGACATTCTACCCAATTGCAGCCTGAAGCCATTCTCCCAAGAACCGGTTCCCATACTCAAGCAAAGGTTAGAGTTTGGTACTTTCCTTGAACCGTAATCCCAATTGGGACTTTCCCGCAGTTCAGAATGTGGTCAGGAGCATAGGGAGGGATACCAATCCAGCCTTAGGAAAAGAAACTTTCCACAGGAATCTTGGAGATTGGCGACCATCCTAATGACTTAAGTGGTTGACCCGTGCCCACGTAAAATTTATATATTAGAGACAGAGTCAGGAAGGAATGGATTAATTCATTCTACATCACCCTGAGGCTTAAGGTACTGATTCTCTTCAAGCTGAATGCCACGATTTGTCCCATAGAGTAGCCATGGGCAGCAAACGTGGATTCATACAGCTGTCCAAGAAAGTTCCCAATGAAGAAGTGAATTTAGATCCATCCTTGAAAAAGAGAAAGGCACAAGGAAGAAAAGGGCACTTACCAGAACTCCAGCTCACAAGCCGATGAAGCAAGATCCCCGTTCGGGCCACCAGAAATGATGTGCGGACGGCAAGCTGAAGAATCGAAAGAAAGATTTCTTGGACTCTCAAGGTCTGCCAGTAGTGCTCTTTTATTTAGAAAATCGTGTGGAATAGCGTGGGGACAGACCCATGGGCAGTAAAGAGCTGCTGCCCTGAGTTGAGGGTTAGGGCTAAATTTATAAGGCAGGGGTACGTGACTTATTTTTACTGGAAAAAGAAAAGATGATGTAAAAAGTCATTAAATGATTTCAGTGCAGATGGGGTCTGGTTATTGTGCGGTCATATAACTTTAGATATGAATCTGGTCATATAGATCAGCATGTAAGTGAGGATGCCCTGGGTTTCTCTCCCTGGGGCAGCCTTAATCCACACCATAAAATCCATCGGGTCATATAGATTGGCATGTAGGTGAGGATGCCCTGGGCTTCTCTACCTGGGGCAGCCTTGATCCACATCAGGAGCACCCCAAAGTTGGAGGCTTTGCTGGAAGACTAGAGCAAACATGTTCCAGGGAACACTTCACAGCTTTCCCTACTCTTTCCTCCCTCAGGAGACAAGAAAATAAGCCCCTATTAAAATAGTGAGAGAGACCATCCTTAACCTCTTGAACTTTTGTCACAGTTTATCTCTGCTCGATCATTGATTGCTCAGATCTAAACATATTTACACAATAGATTGTTGAATTGCCTTGTCTTACCTTTACATTTGTTGTTATTCATAGAACTTCTTCTTTATCATTTGTTCTTTTTTCTGGTCCTAGAGACAAACAATTTGTCATTTTATGTAACTGTCTTTCTTTAGTTCTGTGATTCTTCTGGCCTTTCTGCTGCTTTTAGAATTGTTTTTATTCATTTTTATCTCTTTTTCCTCTCTTTCTAAGATTTTTATTTAAAATGTTTTAAATTCCTTATCTTTCTTTTCCTTTCCACTTCTGTTTTGCATTTCATCGTGTGTACCTCCATCTTTAAATAATGATCTTTCTTTGTTTCTAACTTTGAACTTCTACCCGTGAAACTGAGCCGTAGGTTTCTTTTGCTCTCTCTTAACATTTCTTTACCCAAGCAAGATAGTGACCTCTGGGTTTTGTGTATAGCAAGATTATTTTAGGTAACAGGGTCTCGTGCGGTGTTGGAAAAACACTGACTGGAGTCATAAAATCAGAGTTTGAGTAATAACTCCACTGTATGTAAGGGTGAAAGCTTAGGTGGGTCCTAGTCTCTAGACCTCAGTTCTGTCAGTTTTAAAATTGGGACTAAGCGCCTGCCGCATCCTCGGTCCCAGCTCAGGTGGGGTGAGGATTGCTAGAATACTTTGGAAATTGCCAAGTGCTATTTCAATTTAAGCTTTGGTCACTCATCTGAACGTTCTTATTTTGTCCTTACCAAACAGAGGTGTACTAAATAAACCCTCTTGACTACAAGATAAAAAACCCCTCTATTACCAGCTTCCTCTTCTCACCTGAGTAAAATATACTTAATTGTAGTATATTTTCTCTGACCCAGATATTGGAATCTCCTTGCTGAATGTATTCCCATATTTTAGCTTCCTGTTTATGCCACTAATTTAGCATTATAATATGTTGATTATATTACAACTGCTATCTCAAGTGACCATTTTATTTCCAAATAGAATTTAAGTTGTGTTTATTCTTCGGTTCTTTCATCTTTCTCCATTCTTCCAGTATGTATCACATGTACATCGCCTGATTCATGAACTTAGGTCAGCATCTTTCATCACTAGCATCTAACTCATCACTTTCATCACTAGCATCATAAATATGCCTGCATTGTCTGTAAACAACAGAATCTCTGTGGACATTTCTGAACATCTTATGCTTTATTCTCTAATGACTCATCCTGTGGATGCTCCATGATACAGATTCTTATCGAGTTGCAGTGCTGCCTAAATCATTTTTGCCTTCCATTAGTATTTCTTTTTTCTTTTTTTGTTTTTGAAAGAATCAGCAGAAAGTACAAAGTATTAAAGCACTTATTCTCTCCATTTATGATAGCACTTCCCATCATTTATCTTTACGACAGTCATGCAAGATAGAGTATTATCTGTTTTACAGATAAAGAACCTGAAGTTCAAGGAAGGTAACTAATCTATCTGAGCCACAGTTAGTGAGCGGCCGAGGAGAGCTACGAACCTCTGCTTCGAATTTGCCAAAACCTCTTCCTTCCACTCCTGCAGCATCTGCTCCTCTCCCAAGTCTCGTTGAGCCTCCCTGCCCACACTGCTCCATTGCCTCTCCACATGAGTAATTGGCATTTACTAGGCTAGTTATCACTAGAAAAAACAAAAAAAGACTATAAACACTCAATTGAATTCACCCTTTTTTTGGTAGGACCATTTTTCCTGTTGATTGAGGTCAATTTGAATTTTATTCCAGTATCCCACAGTGTTGTTGTTAGTGCCATCGAGTGGATTCTGACACTTAGCGACCCTGTGTCCAGCAGAGCAGAACCCCGCCTGGTCTTTTGCAGCATCCTCCCACCTTCCAGCACTGTATCAGATGATGCTCCACTGCTGTTTACACGGTTTTCATGGCCAATTTTTTCAGAAGTGGGTGGCCAGGTTCTTCTTCCTAGTCTGTCTTAGTCTGGAAGTTCCGCTGAAACCTGTCCACCATGGGTGACCCTGCTGGTATTTGAAATACTGGTGGCACAGCTTTCAGCATCACAGCAACGTGCAGCCGCCACACTATGACAACCGACAGACTGGTGGTGTGGTTACCTGAGCAGAACAGGAAGAAACCCAGGCTGTGGAGGTGAGAGCCCGAATCTTAACCACTAGACCACCAGGACTGGCTTCCCAAAGTATTAGCTCAGTAGGTTAGGTATTGGTGACATTCCCATTTCATTCAGGCCGTTAATAAAGTGAATGAGTAACGTTCTTTTAGATTTACTGTAACCCTTACCTTGCAGTCTTCAAACCAGTTGAGAGAATCCACAGATCTTTGTTCAGATTTTCAAAGTGCTTCATTATGGTACTTGGAAAGTACTTCGGTATGCGGCATTTTCACTCAGCAGTGTGAAGACATCTCACTTCATGGAACCTGATTCTAGTTTGACTTTTATCCAGAAATGTCTCTTGCAACAAAATACTCAACTGAACTTAAAACGTTAACAAAACTACCTTGTATTTCATCAAAAATATCTTTTTCCCTCCTCAGGGTGTCACTTTTCCAGCCATGCATGCCATGTGGTCTTCTTGGGCTCCCCCGCTTGAGAGAAGCAAGCTTCTTAGCATTTCATATGCAGGTGAGATAACTGTTCTTGTAAGAGTGTTTGCTACAACTTGTTATGTATATATCAGCCTCGGGGAAGAAGTGTCTGCACACCAGATCATGCAATGGCAGATGCCTCCTCTGGGGGAAAATAAGGTTTTGGGGGCATAACTTTATTAATTTTTCTCTTTGGCTCAGTGACATAGGGCAATGTGGCTTAATTGACTAATTTCATTTCCTCCGTCCATCATCATTTGTTTCAAAACATGTTGCATTTTCGTATATTGGTATAGAGGATGCTGTTTTTTTTGGTCCAACAGCTGGAAAATTGAACACTTTTTTCCTTAAATTGTGATTAAATTTGATTGTTTAGTGAGCATATCATGGCTCACAGCCTCTCTCTTCATACGTCTTTTTCCTGTGCATTTATTTGCCATCATTTTGATCTATGGGTGAGATAGCATGAGCTTTATATGTGAATTTATAATTTTCCCAGATCACAGACTGAATGAAAATATTTTGACCTGACTACTTTTAGATACAGTGACTCTCTGTGGTGACTCTAAACTGAAATCTGAAGGATAAGGAGGAGCCAGTTACGCAGAGAGAAGAGCATTCCAGCCAACCAGAACAGCATGTACAAGGGCCCAGGCAGGAGATAACACAGGTCTCAGAGAAGTGAAAACCACTGTGGGTGGCTAGAACATCACGGATCAAGAGGATAATGGCAGAAGATGAGGTTAGAGAGACAGACAAGAGCCAGATTATATCAGGCCTTTCAGGCCACAGGAAGGAATGTAGTTGTGTTTTGTTTCCAAAATACAATGGGGGAGCTTCAGAGGTTTCAATCAAGAGAGAGACGCGACCCAGTTTACATTTTAAAAAGGTGCTTCTTGCAGCTATGTAGAGATTGACATGAGAAAGTGATGATAAGTCCAAGAACAGGTACCATCTGTGGTCCCCCTTTACATATTGAATAAAGTCAAAGCATGAATCAGGGGCCAGGATTCTTTATAGTCTTCACTGCTTGGTTTCAGCTAGTCTGGTCCCGGCACACAGTGGCTGACGTGGAGTAGATATTCAGTAACTATCCAACCTATGTTTCCAGCCTTTACCTTCTATTCCTTTCCTGCGCCCAAGTGACATTCCCAAACCCACCCTCTTTCCTACTTCCTTTCCTGTGCTCATCCTGTTACATCTGCCTCTGAGTCTTCTTTCTTACCTTATTTCTATGAGACCAAATCTTACTCATCTTTTCAAAGTCTGCTGCCACCTCTGAGATCCTTCCCTGACCTTTGGAAGTCCGAGGAAATCTGTCCCGTGTTTGAACTTCCGTATTGCTCAGTGACGCTTAACACATAATAATTATTTGTTTATATTTATTTCCTATGTAAGACTAAAACTTGTGACTAGAAACAATGTCTGATTATTTTAGCTCCCACTGTACCTACTAAGATGTCTTGTGTTTGGTGGTTAAAATGAATTTTATTATTCGTTTATCTGAAATAATTGTTTGTAATATATTTGGGGCAAATCAGATTACTGGAAGCTTCATTCTTATTTCATCAAGTATGCTGCAGGTTATGTTTATCAGCTTTAGAGACCATCTTTGAACCTTTCCCCAAACACCTGATTTCTAACACATTTACGACTACTGTGCTTTACTAGCTCATATTATGTAGGAGGTCTTATACTGATTGATGCCTTTTAATTCATCAATAGCTACATAGTTGTAACTGAGGTAACTACTTATTAATGTATATGTTTTATGTATTGTGAGTTTTTTAATAATCCTTTAAGAGAATGGATTGTTTATGTTTACATGTGACTAATTCACCTCCTGTGGGATCTGATTCATTCTTTCTTTTCTCCATTATCTGTTAGCTTCTTCTTTTAGCAGGAGACCTGCCCCTTCTTTGTTCCTCTCTCTCCAAAGTTTATGAAGTCTTTGTTGTTGTTCTAGGAGCACAGCTTGGAACAGTAGTTTCTCTTCCTCTTTCTGGAATAATTTGCTTGTATATGAATTGGACTTATGTCTTCTACCTTTTTGGTAAGTTTATTCAAAAATTTAACCTAAATTATAATGTAACAAACCCAAAATGTAATAGTAGCCTAATAATTGGTTAAAAACATATATATTTTAACTCACTGAAATAACCACCTCCTAAACCACAAAGCTCTAAAACACTTACTGATAACTTGTTTTTAAATTTGATATGGTTGAAAGGCTCTAGCTGAGTTAGACCTGGTGTTAGTTTTGGAATATTTCTCAATAGAAATTGCTACTGAATAAATTACTATGTTGAATATTATTAAAATGTGTATTTTGAAAATATTTCTTCTCGAGCAAAGTAAGGTGCTCTCACTTGGTAGTTTTAATCTTTTTTTCTTTGTATTTAGTCCCAGGGCCTTCGTTTCTCAATTTCATTAGCAGGATGGTACACATTTTTAGTAAATTAGATTGCCACATAGACATTTCATGCCAGAACTGTATCTGCAATCAAAACAAAAAACAAATCAATAAACAAAAACAGGTCCCTGTGGAAATAATAGATTGTGGAAGTTTATTTTTTTAAAGATTTGTCTGGTAGACCCTGATAGACAGGGTCTTGTGGTTAAAAGTTGTTCTCTTCAAAATTTATAGGAAACAATACAGATAGCAGTTATCCTATTAAAGAATTTGGAGAGGAACTTGAAATGAAAAGTAAGCTGAAACCAATTTTACAATGAGTGTATTGTTGCATAATTTTTTCAAGGCATGTAAAACTTGCTGTTGTTGCATTTTAATTTTAACTATTATTTTTCTATTTTAAGGTATAGTTGGAATCATTTGGTTTATTTTATGGATCTCACTAGTCAGTGATACACCAGAAACTCACATGAGAATCTCCCAGTATGAAAAGGAATACATTCTTTCATCATTAAGAAATCAGGTATGGACTTTGGCACATCTTAAAAATATCTCAGGGGACCAGCCCAATGGTGTAATGGTGAAGTTCGTGTGCTCCACTTTGGCAACCCAGGGTTTGCCGGTTCAGATCCCAGGTGCAGACCTATGTACCGCTTATCAAGCCATGCTGTGGCGGCATCCCACATACAAAGTAGAGGCAGATGGGCACAGATGTTAGCTTAGGACCAGTCTTTCTAAAAAAAAAGATAATAATTTCAGAACCTTTTTTTCTTCAGAATTAAGATACTAATTTTTTTAATACGTATTTCTATTGTGCATGTTCCAGGCAAAGTAGACCAAGCCAATGAAATAAATGCACAAAGTATTGGTTTGTTTTGTCTAAGAAATTTCCGTTTGTCCTAGATGAAATCTATGAAAAATTACTTTTTGTTTTTTTTAAAGATTGACACCTGAGCTAACAACTGTTGCCTATCTTCTTTTTTTTTCTTTTTTCTTCTCCCTGAAGCCCCCCAGTACATAGTTGTATATTCTAGTTGTGGGTCCTTCTGATTGTGCTATGTGGGACACCGCCTCAGCATGGCCTGATGAGCAGTGCCATGTCTGCACCCAGGATCCAGACCAGCAAGACCCTGGGCCACCAAAGCAGAGCATGCGAATTTAACCACTGGGCCACAGGGCCAGCCCTGAAAAATTACTTTTTTAAGTCATTTTAAACCTTGTAGAGTAATAATTATCAAGTAAGTCTGGTTTGTCTTTTCTTCTTAATTAGTAGAAAATAAAACATGTTATTTATGAAAGGAATCTTATAGTTACATTGTAAATGTTAGTTGTTAAAAAACTAACTAGTGTGTTTTTATCTGTATTTTAAATGAGAATAATTTAATGAGGAGAACAGCACATTTATTATATATAATAGTATATGATATATACCTGTTTGCTCCTCTAGAGTAGATCTTTAAAAAACATATCTTATTAAAGCTAGATTTGTATCACTTAAGCACAATAGCAAGTCAGAAGTAAAAATCTAGTATATTTAATATAGTAAATTTTCAAGCCATGGAAATAAAATATTTGCCTTTTAGGAGGAATAACAGAAAGAAGATGAGAACAGTAGGAAAAATTAAAATATATACAGTCTTTTCTTAGCATTGGCAGTAGCTTCATAGTCACTTTATTAGTTTAAGAACATAAAATATTTTGCATAAAACTTTTTGCCCATTAAGTTACTTTATTGATATTTTCAATGTTTTTTGTTTTGTTTGTTTGTTTTTTGCTAAGGAAGATTCACCCTGAGCTAACACCCGCTGCCAATCTTTCTCTTTTTTATGTGAGCCGGCGCCACAGCATGGCCACTGACAGATGAGTGACGTAGGTCCGCACTCAGGAACCAGACCCGGGCCTCCAAAGCGGAGCACGCTGCACTTAACCACTAGGCCACTGGGGCTGCCCCTTTAATTTTTATGTATAGTATAACCGGGCAGTAATTAAATAGTTACTCATTCACATTTCTTTTTAAGTTTTTAAATTTTGCTACAAATGTCTATAAGCTGCTGAAGTCTAAAAAATACAGCCACTCTTGGTTTTTGTCAAAGGTTGGCAAAAACTTAGCAGAAATCAGCCATGCAATATAGAAAGTTACTTTGAGGTCTTAGTGTCCTCTGTGATGTTAATCAAATGAGTCATGCACTTCTTTCCCCTAAGGAACAGAGAAAAAGAATTTAATGCATTGTGAACAGGTCTTGCCGTGTAAAACTTGATATGTTTTGTCTCTTTTCCTCGGTGTTGATGGTCAACAGCTTGCTTCTTCCAATACTGCATTTTTATCATCATTTTTATGGACTTATGAAAACTTTTAGTTTGTTTAGATTTTTTTCAAAAGCTTTTTCTACCTTGACGTGTGTCTAAATCTGTCCATTCTCCAAAGCTAAGGTTAATTTGTTTTCCCATATGCTTCAGAAAATGGAATATTCAGAAGCAAGGGGATGAGTAGGACTAGGTCTCATAGAACCCGAGACTGCATTCTTTAACCAGATGAGGTTGTAGTTGAAAATGTCATAAGATGATGATGCGTTACATGAAGCTCCACCTTTAAATCCTGGATGCGAGTAATGTGCAGTGTGTGCCGTACTTCATTCATTCTTTAAATCCTGGATGCGAGTAATGTGCAGTGTGTGCCGTACTTCATTCATTCTGTAAACACTTTCTGAGAACTTCCTATGCCCTAGGTTCTTTGTCAGGTACTGAGGACTTAAAAATTAATAAGACAAAGAAAATGAACAAGACTTGGTTCCTGTGGGACCCATCATCTCCAGAGGGAGACAGGCATGGATGAACAGAATTTCAATGTAATACAGGCTGCGTCTCTGGAACAGAGGAGGCAAGGTGTGTAGCCAGCCTGGGAGCAGATAGGAAAGCCCTCTGGTGTCGACGCCCTCCAGCCAAAGACCATAAGGAACATCTGTGCTTGAACAAAGGCGGGGTCCTTGGCGTGTTGCAGTGAGGGAGAAGGCACGCCCTGAGGACCCACTGGGCATCTCAGTGAGGGAGTTGAGAGGAGTTTAGACCTGAGGAGACTGTAAAGAACCAGAGTTTTGCTCTGGAATTGGTGCTGTCAGAAGCAGTAGCAATTTAGGATTGAGTCTCTTGATCCCGAAGGTGAAGCTGGAGCTCTCGTGGTGAAGAAGCCACGGCGAGAGGAAGTGTGCCCCTTATTGTGGTGTAGAGCATTCTTGTTTCCGTCTGCCCTCGGCCCTGGTTATGGAGGGCTCTTACTTTTTGTCCCGATCCTCAAGCTGATAGAGTGGCTTTGTTCACGCTCAGAGGGAGAGCACCGCAGCCCAGTTACTAGAATTAGGCCAGCTCAGGTGACAACGGCTGCTTTTTTCTTTCTCAGTGGTAAAAGCTGTATCTGAATAGTCTTGAAAGGGAATTAGAGTGAACCAGCCAAATTGGGGGAGTGAGAGACGTCCAGGCATTTCAGCCAAGGACATGGGGTGAGCAAAGGCACAGGAGAGAGAGTGAAGGCTGCCAGGGAGTGAGCAGTGAGGAACAGCTAAACGTAAGACAGGCAGACAGCGCAGGAGGTGCAGGGGTAGGCACGAGTCAGCCCGTGGGGCTCTTGAGGTCCACTGAGGAGCTTACACTTCATCCTCTAGGCGCTGGAACACCATGAATTAGCTGTAAGCTTGAGGCGACAGAATGAGATTTGCATTGTAGAAAGCTTGTGCCCACAGCTATGTGGAGGGAAAACCTCAGCCAAACAAGCAGGTGCTCCAGTTAGAATGCTCCCTCGGTTATCCAGCTAAGAAAAAGTCAATACTTAGAGGCAGAAATGTGATTTCATTCTTACAATAAGTAGATTTTACATTTGTGACAGCATATCTAGTTCCAATTCTGACTCAGAAATTGTTATAAAAGAGAAATAAAATCTTCAGGGCACTCGGCAGGTAAGTTCACAGGGCCAGCTCAGGCTGAGCTCGTGGGCAGGCTGCCTGCAGCCGTGAGTGCTCTGAGATTGTCAGCTGCTACTCTGTGCTGGTGCTCTCTGATAAACTGAAAGACACTACCACTCCATCCGCTGAAGCTTTCTTTCCCAGAGATCTGGTGTTGGTTTTTTTCTTTACTTAATTCTTGAACACAGCAAATGTTATAACTGTTTACTTCTCTTTTATACCTTTTAGAAAGAGTACACAATTTTGCAACATTATGAAGGAAATGGGGGCCTTGGTTTGAATATTTAGTTGACATAAATTAAGAACGCTTATTGCATGCAACTTTTTCTAAATCAATTTGCTGTTACTTGCACTTGACAGGAAAACATTTTTTGTGTAGTTGCACATAGAAGATGCTCAAATATTTGTTGAATGACCTTACCTTCCCTATATTCTAGACGATTTCACACATTTGACAACAAATAATTTTTTGTAGTTTTTCCTTTTCTGTTTCAACTTGTAATAAAACAAGCTGATTGAGCTATTATTACAAATTTAAGGATACATTCTCTATATAAGATTCAAGACCTCATTGATTGTCCCTTCAGAAATTCTCTCATCATTCAAATATCAAAAGAAAATTTGCTTTCAGAATGTTGGCTGGGAAAATGATCTGAGCAATTTAAAAATTGCGTGGCATTTTCAAAGAATTTAGAGCTCTGATAAGAACTTTCATAATGTTTTTGCCAACATACAGGTATAATGAAGCCATGGAGAGTGCGTGGATATTGCTTGATTGGCAAGTCATCTCTGACAGTAATGTTTTAGAAACAATAGCAAGAGAATAATTTCTAGATCTAGAATATCAGGAAAAAAGTTGGTTTGTACTTTATTAAGGTCTTACCTTAAGCCTATTTTGTCCATTGTGGTAGCCACTAGCCCATGTGGCTATTAAATTTTAATTTAATTAAAAATTCAGTTCCCCTGTTACACTAGCCATGTTTCAAGGCCTTAATAGGCACATGTGGCTACTGGCTACCATATTAGACGATGCCGAAATAGAACATTTCCATCATCTTAGAAAGTCCTATTAGACAGTGCTGCCTTACGACCTTAAAGGATTTTTTTAATGTCTGCTGGATACTTGGATAGTTTCTCTTAGTAACATTTAAAAATTCATCTCTAACTTGAATGTTTTTATAAATGAAGATTTTTTTGCCCCAAAATATAACTTATAATGTGGAAATACTATAAATTGATCTCACAATTCTTATTGGGAGAAAAGAAAACTGTTGTAACCCAGGTTACAGATGACACTAAGCCATAACGTGTACATATCCTATTCGTCTTCCCAGACCGCCAACTCTGTGGGCCTTGTATTCGTGCAATAAATAGCGATTGAGAACCTGCCGCATGTCAGGCTTATGTGTGGGACATAAAGCTGGCCTCTTTTTCCCGCAGCCTTATTGAGATATAATTGACATATAGCACTGTGTGAGTTTTAGGTTTATAATGGAATGATTTGATACTCTTAGATGTTACGAAATGATTACCACAGCAGGGTTAGTTAATACCTCCATCACCTCACATAATTACTATTGCTTTTTTGTGGTGAGAACATTTAAGATCTACTCTCTTAGCAACTTAGTCACTGTACTGCACATTAGATCCCCAGAACTTATTCATCTTACAACTAAAATTTCTACCCTTTGACCAACATCTCTGCACTTCCCCCACACCCCTGCCCAGCCCCTGACAACCACCTTTCTACTCTGTCTCTTTGAGTTCCATTTTCTTTTACTCCACATGTAAATGACATCATACAGTATTTGTCTTTCTCTGATTTATTTCACTTGGCATAATGCCCTCATGGTCCATCCGTGTTGTTGAAAATGGTATATTTCCTTTTCCGTGGCTGATTGTCTAAGACATTGTTCTCTGGGCTCCCAGACCTCGGCCAAGAGGGGTTAGACCTGATTCACAGCCACTTCGGGTTCCCATGGGACCGAGGTCTCAGTGTCTTCTTGCCAGTGCGCAGGGTCCAAGACTCCTCTAAGGCCCCTTGGCATGTGGTGCCAGATCCCACAACTCCCACGGAACTTTTGTCTGTAGATGGATGCCCAATGGTTAGGGGTGGGGAGATACGCAAGCCGGAGACACCTTATTCCGCTGTCTTGCTGATGTCACTCTCCACATATAGCTGCTCTTGCTTGGAGGATGTTCCAAAAACCTCAGGTTATCAAAAATTCAATTGATATTTATAGGCTGTGAAAATACGCCAGTTTAGCTAAATTTGCTTCATTTGTACAAATAAGATTATGCCTAAATGCTGGTGAAAAGCTACAAAGCTATTATCAGAGCCATACATTCTTCTGAAACATCGTCAATAAGTGTAAATACATATAGCAGGAATCTCAAAATTATTACATATTTCAGGTTAAAGTTTATGTCCCAGGAGAGGGGTACATTATTCAGTAAATTTAGTTTTCAGAGATGAGATCCGTTTAAGCCCGTACGTCTCAACGTACAAGTGTGACTTCACCTCCTTTGTGGGTTTCAAAGCTGCATAAAAAGGGCTCTGTGCCAAATTCCTTTAAACTCTAAATCTCTAGACTGCTCTTTTCCTTCCACTTTGCCCTCAGCTTTTCAAGCAAGGAGGGTGGGGGGGGAGGCTGCAGATTTATTTAATTTCTACAGCAATGGGTTCTAACTTTTGCTACACATTGAAATCACCTGGAGATCTTTAAAAACTGCTACCACCTACCCCCCACCCACCCCTAACCTAACTTAATTGGCCTGGAGTGTGATCTTGGCCTCAAGGTTTTTAAGCTTCCCAGGTGATTCTAATGTGTAACAAACTTTGGGAACTGTTGCTCTCTAGACTCACCAGTGAAGCCTTTTAAAATAGACGCCTTGCTCCTACACTCAGAGGTTTTGTTTTTGTTTTCAATTCAGTAGCATCAGGTAGAGCATAGCTTTCTGTAATTTTAAAGTGTCAGAGGTGATTCTGAAACATAACTGGATTTGAGAACCACTGCTATATAAGAATGAATGTTCCGGGGCCGGCCCCATGGCCAAGTGGTTGAGTTCACACGCTCCATCCTGGGCGCTGACATGGCACCCCCCATCAGGCCACACTGAGGCGCTGTCCCACATGCCACAGCTAGAAGGACCCACAACTAAAACATACAACTATATACTGGGGGGATTAGGGGAGAAAAAAATAAGATTGGCAACAGTTGTTAGCTCAGGTGCCAATCTTTAAAAAAAAAAAATGAATGTTCCCTCGCCTTCTCTCCCCGCCATGTCCCCTACATCTTTGATACATAGTGGAAAACACACGAGCATATCTACCAAGTCAATTGAAAAGTCTCTAGGAAAAAGGCCACAAGAAGGTTGATGCTGGTTCTTCCTCTTTTTGAAATAACAGTGAACCCTGGAGGCAGAAACCGCTTTCTCCAGCGTTTGAGAAAGAAACCGCAGAGCCTTAGGATTTAGGAAGTGTAATAATCTGATGCCCTAGACCAGTGTCCTTCGTAATCATGCACCAATAAAAAGGTGGGGGTAACGATCTGAACATATGTGTATTTATTCATGGTTATCTACTACTGTACTTACATACATTATAAAACATGTAAAAATAGACTGTTAAAGAGTGAATAAGATTAAATAAACAGTGTATGCATAAATTTTAATAGGAAAACCTTTTTATCACTTAAAAATTAGTAATAATGATGTTAATTAATGGGAACAGTATGTTTTCATAGTTGTATTTGATGAGCCTGCCATTGTTTCGCTTGATGAGGTAGCTTACAGAGGACTCATGGGAGGAAGTGTCGGCTCTACTATCTTCTCAATGCTTACGTTATTAGAATTCTCTTCTTTTGACTTTCTCTATAAGAATCTTTTGAAGACACTGTTGATTTTGTAAATTTATTTTATTTAAAACTGGCTAATAAAATCCATTATTCCACTTGAAAAGGTCCGTATAAACTGTAACATGCTGCAGTGCACTGAAGGCAAACCAACAGGTGAGGGTGCCATTAACCCCCCTGCACTGGGGAGGTCGTACCGTATGTGACTGTCTGGCATACTCAGGGAACAACCTGTTTATTAAATATTCATGAAGCCTGGTTTCTTTTCTCAGAATGAAAGTGAGTATAGCTGGAAGTCTGTCTCCCTCACCTCAGTGGGTCATCTTACACCCCTCTGGAGTGTTCATACCTGACTCTGAAGACCATCATTCCAAATGGCTGCCCAAAACCTGCTGTGACACAGTTCTTATAAATCATTTTAATTTCAAAAGATTGGATAATGAAATATGAATTCTAGTAGGACTTCCAGTCTCTTTCCTTTTCACTTATGTTAATCTCTGAATTTGGTTCTGAAACTCTGTCTTCTAGATGGACAAATTAATACTGCAGGTGACTGCAGATGTTCATGAAGAGTGGTTAGGGTTGACATGATAGCTCTAAGATTGCATCTCTATTTTTTCTTCTAATCTGAATCATGGACTCTATTGACATTTAATATTTCGAAAGACTTGGTTTAAAAGTCTAGAATTTACTAATCAAGTCTGATTACATGTTCTAGATGGAAGTTCAGCTGAAAAGGCATAGATCTAAACATAGCTGTAGCTTATCCTAATTGTACTTGTTTTTTCAGCTTTCTTCACAGAAGTCAGTGCCATGGGTGCCCATGCTAAAATCACTGCCACTTTGGGCTATTGTAGTGGCACATTTTTCTTACAACTGGACTTTCTATACTTTGTTGACGTTATTGCCTACTTATATGAAGGAGATCCTAAGGTTCAACATTCAAGAGGTAAGAAAAAGTAATCATCTGCTTCTTATAGAGAGTGTACATTTTAAACTGCACACAGTATTTGTTTTTATCTGTATGAAATACAGTTATTTGTGTCTTCCATTTTATTCTGATAAACTAAATTCTAGAGACTTCTCTTTTTGGCCTCACAGTTGTTCCTTTTCTCAGTGTGTGTTAACTCTTGATTCAAGGTATCTTTTGGCAGGTATCCCCTTTAACCATAACGGTCTTACTAGTCCCTCGTAACATGCCCGGATATCAGATGACAGATTCAAGTGGTACAGTGTCCCATGTGAGAGGGCTCGGCGTGGGGAGCGGGCAGCGCGGGCGCTCGCGCAGAGCTCCTCTGCAGCGGGTGCTAGTTAGGCCTGGGCAGAGCTATGGTTGTAAAGCTAGATAAAAAGGGCCTTCCTGAAACTGCCTGTTCCTGCTGAACTCATCAAATTGAGGCTGTTCCTAATATCTCTACCTTGACAGATTTTGTCTTTAAAGTGATTGAGGAAGAGCCTAAAAAGAAAGAGGCACAGTTTGTAGGGAAAATTGGTGGTATTTTTGCCTTCAAAATGAAGGATAGATCAAAGACCTAAATGTAAGAGCTAGAACAGTGAAACTCTTAGGAAGTGTACATCTTTGTGACCGTGGAGTAGGCAACAGTTTCTTAGGTATGACACCAAAAGCACAAGTAACCAAAGAAAAAAAATAGGTAAATTGGACTTCATCAAAATTTAAAACTTTTTATGTGTGTGTGAGGAAGATTGGCCCTGAGCTAACATCTGTTGCCAGTCTTCCTCTTTTTTCTTGAGGAAGATTGTCCCTGAGCTAACATCCGTGGCAGTGTTCCTGTTTTTTGTGTGGGACACCTCCTTTGCATAGCCTGACAAGCAGTGTGTAGGTCCATACCCAGGATCCAAACCCGTGAACCCCAGGCCGCTGAGGTGGAGCGTTCAAACTTAACGATTAGGCCAAGAATAAAGACCCAGTGAATGGGAGAAAAAATTTGCAAATCATGTATCTGATAAGGATCTGGTATCCAGAATAACGAATTCATAGAACTCAATAATAAAAATACAGCCCAGTTTATAATGGGCAAAGGATTTGAATAGACATTTTTCCAAAGAAGACATACAAATGGCCAATAAGCCCATGTAAAGACACTCAACATCATTAGTCATTAGGGAAATACAAATCAAAACCATAATGAGATACCACTTGACACCTATTAGAATCCAAAAAACCGGAAAATACCAAGAGCTGGTGAGGATGTAGAGGAAATGGAACATACGTTGCTGGTGGGAATGTAAAGCTTCTGTGGAAAACGGTTTAGCAAGTCCTCAAAAAGTTCAACATAAAGTTATCATATGACCCAGCAATTCCATTCCTAGGTCTGTACCCAAGAGAATTGAAAACATGTGTCCACATGAAAACAAGTACACAAGTGTTTACAACATCGTTACTCGTAATAACCAAAAGGTGGGAACAACCTAAAAGTCTGATGAATGGATAAGCAGAATGTGGTCTGTCCTATGGTGGAATGTTCCTCAGCCACGAGTGATGGACAGCCCAGAGGTGGAGAAGCAGCCTGGGCGGCGCACCTGAAGACTGCAAGGATGGCTGCACAGCTGCGTGGGCTTCGTGGACTCAGCTTTCAGCAGCGTTCCAGTCAGTCTCAGTCACCTACCTTTCAAAGCATGCTAGACACATTGGCCAGGTGAACTGAGCCTTAAACTTCATCCAGGCAGCTAAGCTGTGAAGAGCTCATCTGGTACTTTTGAACACCAAGATCAGTTATACTGAAACAGAGCCTTGAATTGCACTGACGGCAGACACTGAAATGGGGCTTTGGCAATGGCTTCGTTGTGAGCAGCCTTGCTTTCCCCAAGCTCTCTGTGAGTGACGCCTGATGTAGTGTACGATGTAGCAGTGAACTGCGTGCACACTTAAAGCTCATTCCATTGACGTCTCTGTTTGAGACCATCCTCGAAGAACTATGGAAAGAATGAAATATCAACAGCTGGCTGGTCATTAGTGTTAATTGCTTTCATGTATTTTTCATTGTTTTTTTAAGTTCTATAATAAGAGACTATAAAACTAGAATCTTTTATTTTCATACAAAAAAGGCATTTTCTTTTTGAATCAAAATTAAGAGAAATGTGAATAGAGTTTGAAAATAATCCCCTAGTTGTATGGAAGCCTGTTTTTAAAATGGATTTTTTTTTCTTGAAGATCAGTATATTACATTCATATAATGGTCTTTGTTCGAAATAAAGCTTGCTTTGAGAAGCGTTGTATTTAAAATTATAATTTCATTAATTTAAAATTTTAAGGTTCTGATCCTTCATTATAAGCTTCGTTTTCATATAAGCTTAGTTTCATTAGTTATCCTCACTTTTCTCTTCTCCTAGTTTTTTCCAATTCCAGTGTCCCTATTTCTTACAGCTCAGTGAAGGTTGGGGAAATATCTGTTACCTATTTTGGATGTTAATATTTTGTAATCAATTTTTAAATAATTTTTAAAAGCAAGGAATCATATACTTGAACAGAAAGCAGAACAAGTGTGGAAGATGCCCATGGATGCATAGATGTTGAAGATTTCAATAGTTTTATGTTGTTGAGCGAGTTTTTAACGTTGGAACTTTAAGTGGAAAAATTTGTTAACACTGAGGGATTATGAGTCTCATCCCACTAGGGAACAAAACCAAGATCAGAAAATTTACTTCTCTCTTTGCTGCAGTTTATTCATGTGTAGGATTCTGCCACAAATAATTATAGATGTGATCCCACTATGCAGAAGTCTAAATGGAATAAAATTTAAAGAGGAAATTACTGAGCTTAATGCCAAAAAGAAACAAAAATCTTCAGCTACAGAAAGACAACTGGAAGCATACAACATCTGAATTTAGAGGACCACAAACTGTGATGGAAAAAATTACATCTTTTCTTAAGCACACTTAAATTAAGTATTAACAAATTTTGCTGGTCTTTACCATTAATGACACGGATGGAATTATTACCAGATTTAAATATCACTGATAAAATATCTTTCTATATTTTTTGTGTGTTTGAAAAACGCTAAGAGGTGTACCCATCTCTCTTAGACTTTAAAAACATTTGTTTTTATCAGAATTAGGCCATTTAGTCTTGGCACCTGGGGTTTATGCTGGGGAAAAAGATTAGAAAAAAGAAATGTCTCTCTTTTTTTCCTAGTATGTGTTCTTCGTTTTGCAGAATTTGTGGTTTCCTAAAAAGCTGACTTTTCAAATCATTTTCTACAAAGCAAATAACACATCTCCACTATGAATTCTGTTCCGTATCTTCTGGTGGTCTCATTTTGTTTGGGTGGTAACTTTTATGAAGGAAGAGAAGAGGGAAGAATCGAGCGCCCTGTCTCCTCGCTGCCTTCGTCCTCTGCTCTCACGTATCACCAGGCGCCTCGTCCACATGGCGTTCACTTTAGGATAATTCATCCAGCTGTACATTTGACTGGTGGGGCTTCCTGTATCTATATTTTATTTTATAATAAAAAATATTTTTAGGATAAATAAATAAGTAAAAATGGAAGACAAAAACTGTTCCTTGGGGAGAATCCATAGGCGAATAGAAATGCTTGTCTTCTCCCACTGAGGCCACAGCCCAAGTCCCAGAATAACGTTCCAGATGACCTCGAGCCGACTGGACCGTGTGGACGTCCGCAGTGTGTTGCTGTGTGTTTCCTTTGTTTTCGAGTGGTAGTGGATGTGTGTGTGTTGTTTTGGTTCTTCCTCCCACCATAATTAATCCTGTATCTTCTTATTCTTTCCAGAATGGGTTTTTATCGGCACTGCCTTATTTGGGCTGTTGGTTATGTATGATCCTGTCTGGTCAAGCTGCTGACAATTTAAGGGCAAAATGGAATGTTTCAACTGTGTGTGTTCGAAGAGTTTTTACCCTTATAGGTAAATGAGGTGAATCGGGTTTTGTTTGGTTTACAGTTGTTTACTATGTTTATAGTACAAGGCAAATAAAAGTGGTAATATTAGTCATTTATGTTGTTCACATATCAAAACAGTATATTTTAATGCACGTAGTGTATTTCTGCACAAGATTCTTTTTGAGCCACGCATATTGAGAATTAAGATTTATAATATCCTGTTATCTCCACCATAGTCTCATAACTATTAAAAAATGGCTTGCTTTGTAGAATATCATTCCCAAAGTTTAAAAATCATTTTGTTTTCAGCTCTAGGTTTGCAATGAAAATAAAATATTATTTAATTTAAATATTTTAATTTTATTTGTGTTATTTAAGATCCATCCCTTTTCTTTTTTTCATTAATTTATTTTTTATTGCAGTATCCTTGGATTATGACATTATATAACATTCAGGTGTACACCGTAATAGATTTAGAATTCTGTGTAGATTACATCATGTTCACCACCCAAAGACTAATTGCAATCCATCACCACACATGTGCCTAATCATCCCTTTTGCCCTCCTCCTTCCCCCCTTCCCGTCTCCATCCCTTTTCTAAGTGAATACATATTAGATTTCAATCCAAAAGTATTTACTAACATCATTATATCAAATGAGGAGCTATAAATCAGAGAACTCAAAGGAACCTTAAATAATTATGTGTTGCAGACTCTGCTTTCAGAAAGGCAAATTTTAAGACTATCTAGGACAACTATTCAGTTTTTTAAAAGATCTTGAGTGAGTAGAGACCCTGAAAGTCGCTAATGGCTGGACTTGAGTAATTACATTGTGAAAGGACCCTATTTGTGATAATTCTGCAGACACCTTCTGAGCACCAACTGCTCAAAGGTGCCGTCCTGTTCCATTGCTTGCTCACTTCAAAAAAGAAATTTTTCCACACTTGGAACTGAAATAAATCCCTTTAGACTCAATCCAATTTTCTCCTTTTTGACTTCCTGTTGACCTGCTTTGCTTAGTATATTGGCCATTAGGCATAAGTGGCTATTGAAATTTTTAAAAGTTAAGTTCTTCAGTTGCAGTGCTATGTCCATCATCACAGAGAGCTGTTGGATCCCACTGCTGTTGACACGCAGCCTACTGGTTCAGTCCCTCCTGTGACTTGTATTTCATGCCTAACTGCCTGTAATAAACTATGCTTATTGTTGTCAATTGTCAAATCTTAGATGGAGTGTTTTTCTAACTTTATCCAACAGAGTTTATTATTTAGTGTATCTTCTTTCGCTATACAGATTTTAAATCACATTGTGTATCAACTGTTGCTTCTCTCAAGAGCCATGTTTTTCTCGTCTTCCTCGTTCTCTGACATTTAGCTGAGTTCTAGTCACATGTAGATTTAGGAACATTGCATAATGAAATTTTCCTTTTACTTTTATATTGCATTATGCCTATATGTTTTCTGGCAGGTTTTTTTTTCATGAAACTACATAATTTAAATTTAGAGTCTTCTAGGCAGTACAATGTTTCTACGGTAGGTGGCAGTAATAATAAATCTCAGATTTATACTCTGTTAAGGTAGAGCAAGCAAATGCTAATGCTAGGGCTTCGTTTTCATTTCTAATTCTTCACTCCAGGAATGATTGGACCTGCGGTGTTCCTGGTAGCCGCGGGATTTATTGGTTGTGACTATTCTTTGGCTGTTGCATTCCTGACCATATCAACAGCGCTGGGGGGCTTTTGCTCTTCTGGATTCAGCATCAACCATCTGGACATTGCACCCTCGTGAGTACTCATGTAGAGATTGGCTGTGATTGACTAAATTCATCTTTTTTAATTGTGGTAAAATATACATAACAAAATTTACCATTTTAACCATTTTAAAATAGTGTACAGTTCTGTGGCATTAAGTACATTCACATTGTTTTGCATCCATCACCACCATCCATCTCCAGACTGTTCCGTCTTCCCCAAGGAAAACTCTATCCCCATTAAACACTAGCTCCCATCCCTCCTCACAGCCTCTGGCAACCACCACTGTACTTTCTCTCTCTGAATTCCACTGCTCTAGGAATGATTTTAAGTTGTTAAACAAGGTTTCAGTTTACATGATAATTAAAGCATGAAGTTGTTTATAATTAAACTTTTAACTATCATTACCTCTGTACACAGTGTTTCCATAAACACATTACCTAGAACACATTATAACTTGTGTCTGTCCACCCAGCTGGAATGGGAACTCTGAAGGCAGAGACTGTCTTCCCCTCCTCAGGGCTCACCATGACTCGTGGCACATAGTGGGCATTTAGTGGATGGATGAATGTCCAAGACCAGACCCAGGTATTTGTGCAATTATTGTCTTCCCTATGTGCACACATATTTGTTTAGCGCTTGAAAGCTTACAAATCACTTTCACAAACGTAATCATGTTTTATCTGTAAAGCATTCCTATGAGAAAGGTGTTCTTGACCTATTTTATGACTAAGGAAACTCAGATTCAGAGAAGTTAAGTGATTTGCCTTACACCACACAGCTAATAAATGACAGAGCCAAAACTTGAACCTAAAATTCTTTGAAGCCCAGAATTCCTCCTACAGCTAGCTCTATGAAAATATTCTTTGGGCCACATACTTCTAAGAATTCTTTTGTGCCAGTTGACAAGGTAGAAGAGGAAACTGTGTAAATAGTTTAACCCAGAAGACTTGGCACACTTAATTTTTTTAAGATGATAGATATGAATGTATTTTTGGAGAAAAGACAGGTGGTGTCCTATCTTTGTCCTACACCTAGATGACCTCAGAATCCTTCTGATTTCTGTTAATCCCCAGTCTTCCGTCCCTTCAGTCAGCACTTCAAGATAAGCTCCTCCAACCTGACTGTCACAGAATTCGAGGAGACCTTTGAAATCATTCTCGGCTAGTCTCTCATTTTATGTAAGAAGTCCAAGAAGGTTCTACGGGATTCAAGTCCTAGTGTGCTCAGCTCCTGGCTGAGTCCCGTCTGCCACTCTGCAGTGCTGTCTGCTGAGGCCCGTTCTCGGCCCCTGGGGCAGTGCCTCTTCCTCTCCATCCCTGAGTCCTCCCCAGGTCACACCCTAGTTTGTTTGCTTTTTTAATTAACAGAGCTTAAGATTGGCCCTGAGCTAACATCTGTTGCCAATATTCCTCTTTTTGTTTGAGGAAGATGGTCCTTGAGCTAACATCTGTGCCATTCTTCCTCTACTTTGTATATGGGATGCCACCACAGCATGGCTTGATGAGCAGTGTGTAGGTCCACACCCGGGATCCAAACCCACAAACCCCGGGCCGCTGAAGCAGAGCACACGAACTTAACCAGTACACCACTGGGCCAACTCCCTCAGTTCTTCATTAAGCCTTTCCACACCATTGCTGCCTGCTTTTTTCTCCTCCTTTTCTCAATGCATTCCATTTATAATTTTATGCTAGATGCATTCATATTAACTACCTTACCTTGATATGTAATCATTTCTAAAGGTGACTCTTACCTTTCCTATCTCCCCAGTTTGGATGTAAGCTCCCTCAGACAGAGACATTTTATACATCCATATCACAGCTTCTGCACAAGGAGAGGCACACCCGGTCCATACTTGTCAAGTGGCTATGTGATCATACCAAAAAAGTAGGAGCCTCAGTGCTACATGTCCCTTCACAATGGGGAACCAAGGAAAGAAAACCAGTAGCACTTAGGCATCGGACCAAGAAACCATCTGAAATAAATGGTAATCTAAGCAAAAGCTCTGGAATGGTAAGCTGCCAGAGTGCAGGGGCCAAGTCTGTCTCACTCACTCCACGTGCTGGGCCATGGTCGGTGCTCCGTCAAGTGCATGAATGGAGGAATGAAAATAGATTTTCTTATTCAGTACCATGTTAAAATTCTTTCTAAAAACTATTTGAGTATTGATCTTATTATATTAACACTTTTCTTTAAAGCTCTTTCTTTACTATTCATGTATAATAAAATCAATTTTTGTATTCTCTATTAAATGTAAATACATAATTTTTAGCCAACTTGCGAAATCCTCCACATTATGGCCCCAACCTATCTTTATAATTTTATTTCTGCCTCCCCTGCCTTGCCTTCTGTGTATTCTCTGCCCCAGCTGAACTAAACTACTCTTTATTCTCAAAAAATATCCCGCAACACAGACACACACACACACGCGCGTTTCCACTTTTCCTAGCTTTGGGATTTTGAAAAGTGATTCTTTAGTCCCTCATAGAATTATGAAGTTATCAGTGTAGACATGTAAATCTTCCTAAAGTGAATTGTAGTGATGCCTTTCTCTACAAAATTAGTAAAGATGACAGCTTTAAATGAATATTACTTTTATTATTATGTCATTATTTCCTATTTCTAGTAAATGAAATATGAAACTTGTTTAGTTATCTCTTCATTTCTATAACCACAGTTATTAATTAGAGAAATTGATGAGTTAAATAGCTGAGTTTGTATATAAGCCACATGTATATGTATTTAAATAGCAGTTAAAAGTAACACATAATAGTGAATTCCACAGAATACTATGTAAGTTTATATTAACAATAAAATTGAGATTGAAGTCAAAAATGTGGTATTTGCAGAGATTAGGAGTCCAAAGGAAATAGTACATCTAAATGAGATTTTACTCATTAAGATTTGTTTATTTACCTATTTGTTTTGATTGCTTCCTCCCGTTTTTTTTAATTGAGGTAACATTGGTTTATCACATTATATAAATTTCTGCTGCACATCATCATATTTCGATTTCTGCATAGATTACATCATGTGGCCCATCCACAGACTAATTACTATCCAGCACCATACCCATGTCCCCAGTCACCCCTTTCGCCCTCCTCCCTCCTCCACTCCCCTCTGGTAACCACCAAGCCAATCTTTGTATCTATGTGTTTGTTTGTTGTTGTTTTTATCTTCTATTTATGGGTGAGATCATATGATATTTGACTTTCTCCCTCTGACTTATTTCACTTAGCATAATACTCTCAAGGCCCATCCACGTTGTCACAAATGGCCAGATTTAATCATTTATTATGGCTGAGTAGTATTCCATTGTGTATGAATACCACATCTTCTTTATCCATTCGTCCCTTGATGGGCACCTAGGTTGCTTCCAAGTCTTGGCTATTGTGAATAATGATGCAATGAACGTAGGGGTGCATGTATCTTTATGCATTTGTGTTTTCATGTTCTTTGGATAAATACCCAGCAGTGGAATAGTTGGCTTGTATGGTAGTTCTATTCTTGATTTTTTCCCCAGTAATTGTATTGAGATCATAATGGTTTATAACTTTGTGTAATTTTGGATGTACATTATTATCAATTTCTGAAGGCACTTCATCATGCTCATCCCAGTAGTCTAATTTTTCCATCATCATACATTTGTGACCCATCATCCCTTTTGCTCACCCCAACCCCCTTCCCCTCTGGTAACCACTAATCTGTTTTCTTTATCCATGTATTTGTTATCTTTCATATATGAGTGAAATCATGCAGTATTTATCTTTCTCTTTCTGGGTTATTTCACTTAACATTATACCCTCAAGTTCCATCCATGTTGTTGCAAATGGGACAATTTTCTCTTTTTATGGCTGAATAGTATTCCATTGTGCATATATATATATATATATATATATACACCACATCTTCTTTATGCATTCATCCATGGAAGGGCACTTCAGTTGCTTCCATGTCTTTGCTATTGTGAATAATGCTACAAAGAGCATAGGGGTGCATAAATCTCTTTGGATCATTGATTTCATGTTCTTTGGATAAATACCCAGTAGTGGGATAGCTGGATCATATGGTATCTCTGTTTTTAATTTTTTGAGAACTCTCCATACTGCTTCCATAGTGGCTGCACCAGTTTGCGTTCCGACCAGCAGTGTATGGGGGTTCCCTTTTCTCCACATCCTCTCCAGCATTTGTTGTTTTTTTGTCTTAGTAATTATAGCCATTCTGACTGGTGTAAGGTGATATCTCATTGTGGTTTTTATTTGTATTTCCCTAATAATTGCTGAATGTTGAACATCATTCATGTGTCTATTGGCCATCTGTATATCTTCCTTGGAAAAATGTCTGTTAGTATGCTCTGCCCATTTTTTTTTTTTTTTTTTAAAGATTTTTTTTTTTATTTTTTCCTTTTTCTCCCCAAAGCCCCCCGGTACATAGTTGTATATTCTTCGTTGTGGGTCCTTCTAGTTGTGGCATGTGGGACGCTGCCTCAGCGTGGTCTGATGAGCAGTGCCATGTCCGCGCCCAGGATTCGAACCAACGAAACACTAGGCCGCCTGCAGCGGAGCATGCAAACTTAACCACTCGGCCACGGGGCCAGCCCCTGCTCTGCCCATTTTTTGATTGGGTTTTTTGTTTTGTTGTTGTTGAGTTGTATGAGTTCTTCATATATTTTAGAGATCAATGCCTTGTTGGATAAATGATTTGCAAATATTTTCTCCAAGTGGGTGGGTTGTCTTTTCATTTTGTTCATGATTTCCTTTGCTTGCAGAAGCTTTTTAGCCTAATGTAGTCCCTTTTGTTTATTTTTTCTTCTGTTTCCCTTGCCTGCATAGACATGATATTTGAAAAGGTGCTGGTAAAACCACTGTCAAATAATGTACTGCCTATATTTTCTTCTGGGAGTTTTATGGTTTCAGGTCTTGCCTTCAAGTGTTTAATCCATTTTGAGGTAATTTTTGTATTAACTCAAGCAAGATAATAGTATACTTTCGTTCTTTTGCATTTGGCTGTCCAGTTTTCCCAACACCATTTATTGAGGAGATTTTCCTTTCTCCTTTGTATGTTCTTGGCTCCTTTGTCAAAAATTAACTGTCCATAGATGTGTGGTTTTACTTCTGGGCTTTCAATTCTGTTCCATTGATCTGTGTGTCTGTTTTTGTGCAAGTACCATGCTGTTTTCATTACTATAGCTTTGTAGTATATTTTGAAGTCAGGAATTGTGATACCTCCAGCTTTGTTCTTTTTTATCAGAATACCTTTGGCTATTTGGGGTCTTTTGTTCGGTATAAATTTTAGGATTCTCTATTCTATTTCCCTGAAGAATGTGATTCTGATTGGGATTACATTGACTCTGCAGGTTGCTTTAGGTAGTATAGACATTTTAACTATGTTTATTCTTCCAATACATGAGCTTGGAATATCTTTCCATTTCTTTATGTCTTCTTCAATTTCTTCCAATAATGTCTTATATAGTTTTCAGTGTACAGGTCTTTCACTACTTTGGTTAAGTTTATTCCTAGATATTTTATTCTTTTCGTTTTGACTGTAAATGGGATTGTGTTCTTGATTTCCCTTTCTGCTAGTTCATT